AACCTTTATGGGATTAGTTAGACATGATGAAGTAAATATTCTTTTTATAGTTTTTCATATGAGTAATTTAAAGCGAGTGCGGGAAGTAAACAAAGTAAATGTGCGAGTGCGGGAAGTAAACAAAGTAAATGTGCGAGTGCGGGAAATAAACAAAGTAAATGTGCGAGTGCGGGAAATAAACAAAGTAAATGTGCGAGTGCGGGAAATAAACAAAGTAAATGTGCGAGTGCGGGAAATAAACAAAGTAAAGTGCGAGAAAATAAATAAAAGTAAAGCAATGCGGAAAAATAAAATACTAACTGGAATTAAAATGGCGGCAGGATTAACTTCCTCCAGAGTGCTCCAAAATTCGAACCACAGACAGATTACAGACTCGATCACTCGATTGCAGAGGCACCCCGATGTGGAATGGCAACTGCTTTATAACTGATATATGCCTAGAGAATTCTAATTCTGGATGAAGAAAAACGAAAATCTAAGGTCCTATTTATAGGAGAAACTGAAAGCGCGAAATGACCGGGACGCCCCTCCACTAAAAAGTGGAGGTTGTGGATTTTTGCCCTGTGGCGCCCGCCACAGGGCCTATGGCGCCCGCCACGGTCCCTACAGGGGATGATGGAGTGGGGATCGTGGGTTTTGGAGGTTGAGGAGTGGTCTTGAGACGTGGCCACGTCATGGCTAACCCCATGGCGCCCGCCACGGTGGGTGCCGCAAGTGCAAAATGCTGAATTTCTAGGTTTTCGTCCGTTTTCACTCCTTTTTCGCTCCTTTTCCCGATTCAAGCTCCGATTATTATAAAAACCTGAAAACATAAGAAAACAAAGCAATAACAAAGCAAAACAACAATAAAAGCTAAGAATGCATGCGAAATCGGAGTCAGAAATACGGTGAATTTTAGTGTGATCACTGTGCTGAAAAAGCTTGATGCCTTTTGTCTTTACGTTGGAGGCTGTGCTGAAAAAGCCTGGTGCCTTTTGCCTTCACGTTGCAGAAACTTTCCTTAGAATGGAATGCACAGATAAAACCTTTTTGTTCTGTGTTCTTGTGTCTAGCACAAAAGAAGAAAGAGCTGTTGAGATATGCCAACAAACATATTCAAATCTTCTTCACTAAGTAAGTTCAGCTATCAACATCAGAGTCTGGATCTTCAGAATCTCCAGAGTAGAGATCTTCTGGATCTTCAGAGTCTTGGGATGTTATTCAGATTATGCTGAATCAGAGTATATGCAACTTGTGTGCTTGAGCGTGTAGTTCTGTCAGAGCAGAGTCTTCTATATCAGATTCTCAATACTTATGCAGCGCAGTATCTTCAGAGTCTTCTGATGACTAAGCTTCTGAACTCTCAGAGTCTTCTATTCTTTAGAGGCTTCTGCTTTAGAATCTTCAGTAGACAGCACTCAGATTCTTCTAGAGGCAGCGTTCAGATCTTCATTTAAGATGCTCTTGAACCTTTGAAGCCTTTCATAATATCATTGTTCAGATCCAAATTTGCTCTTTAAGAATATTTTCTTTAGTACCTGTAGCAAACAGTCTAGAACAAATTTAGAGTATATAATTCTTGAATACAAAATTCATAAGTGTTATCATCAAAACATAGAGATATTACTAAGAAACAATCTGTGTTCTTACAAACCTGTGGGGATACTTTCGATACAAGTAAGTCGTTCCCTTTACTCGAACTAAAGGCTCTGATACCACTGTTGGACTTTCAACTAGGGAGCATTGAACATAGTGGGACTTTTTTCTAGAGCAACCTTTGTGAGAGACACACCACATACTCACCCAAAACCTTAAGGTTTTGGGTGAGTATGTGGTGTGTCTCTCACAAAGGTTGCTCTAGAAAAAAGTCCCACTATGTTCAATGCTCCCTAGTTGAAAGTCCAACAATATTAATACATATTTTTTATATCTATGTCACAATAAGTTATATTTTATCTCCTCCATTTTATTGCTTACAACATTTTTGTTGACAACACTTTTATTCACTTCTCAAAAATTTTGTGATAACATTTCAATAATATTTTTCCATTACTTAACCTTTTTTTTTTTGTAGATTTAACTTTGTCAGATGAAGATATTCAACAACTCACTTTGATGGAAATTGAGAAGCAGCTGCAGAAAAATAGAAGAAGTTTGAAAGAATTTAAGCCAATGCCATATCCAAATAATTATGTCCTTGACTTTCTTGGAAATAGATTGATATATGATGAAAGACAATATGATATCAAAGCTCAAGAAGAGATTTACCACAATCTATTTCAAAAATTAACGGGTATTTATTTTACAATTATTTCAATAATATTACTTTATGCTTTATTAAGCCTTCTATAATAGTTGTTCATCTTTATTCTCATCAAGTTAAACACATATGCGATACTTATTCTATACTGTTCATGGAGTAGATTTTAGCAATTATATATTCATGATATTCATTATATGGAATAGTTATGTATACCTCCTATCAGGATTTGAAAATTTAAACTTTGCTAATGTAACAACTTTGGTGGTGTGTTCTTTTTTAATGTAGATGGACAACATGAAATTTTTAGACAAGTTATGAAAGCTGTCACAAATCAAAATGGTGGAGTTTTTTTCTTATATGGTTATGATGGGACTGGAAAGACTTTCATGTGGAACACACTCTCTGTTGCTTTGCGTTGTCAAGGAGATATTGTGTTAAATGTAGCATCTAGCGGAATAGCAAGTTTGTTGTTACCAGGTGGGAGAACTGCACATTCAAAATTCAAAATTTCAGTTCCATGTCTGGAATCTTCCATCTGTAACATTGAGAAAAAATCAGATCTTGCTAATCTCTTGAAGGTGACAAAACTCATTATATGGGATGAAGCACCTATGGCTAATAAGTTTTGTTTTGAAGCTCTTAACAAGTCATTGAAGGATATAATGAGTGATGACAATGTTGAATGTCAACAAATTTTTGGAGGCAAAGTTGTAACTTTTGGTGGAGATTTCAGACAAATTTTACCTGTTGTACCAAGAGGTATTAGGTCTGATATTGTCCATGCAACAATAAATGCATCATATATTTGGGATCATTGCAAAGTTTTGAATCTAACCAAAAATATGAGATTGCAAAGTGGTCCTAATTTAAGCAATTTAGAAGAAGTTAGGCTATTCTCAGATTGGATTTTACAAGTTGGCAATGGAAAAGTCTCAGAACCCAATGATGGCTATGTTGAAATAGATATTCCTGAAGAGCTACTCATTAGAGATTTTGTGGATCCAATTCAGACAATTGTTACAAGTACCTATCCAAATCTACTTCAAAATTACACAAATCCATATTTCCTTCAATGTCGAGCAATTCTAGCATCAACTATTAAAATTGTTGACGACATAAATGACTACATAACTAATCTTCTTCAAGGTATTTTTTAATCTCTATTAGTTATGTCTGATACATGAATACTCTTTTCTTTAAAAGTGCATATTTTAGTGAAGTTGGATTATTAAATATGATATTTAAGAGTTGTATACTCTTTTTGTTTCAAATATATAAATATTTATACTTTAATAATCATTCTTTTTCATGAAGGTGATTGTAAAGAGTATTTGAGTTGTGATTCCATTGATAGATCAGAAGCAAATGATAATTATGCTTTCGAGTATTTGACACTAGAATTATTGAGTTGTCTTAAAACTTCTGGTTTGCCTAACCATTCATTGAAATTGAAAATTGGTACAACCATCATGTTGATAAGGAATTTGGATCAATCAGAAGGGTTTTGCAATGGTACAAGGTTGACAGTTGCTAAGTTAGCCAACTATGTAATAGAAGCAAAAATAATTTCAGGTACAAATATTGGAAACACTATTTGCATTCCACGAATGTCTTTGTCTCCTTCTCAATCTCTATGGCCATTTAAACTTATCAGAAGACAATTCCCAATTATAGTGTCATTTGTTATGACAATCAACAAATCTCAAGGACAATCATTGGATTATGTTCGTTTATATTTGCCCAAGAATGTTTTCAGTCACGGACAACTTTATGTTGCTATTTCAAGAGTTAAGAGTAAAGCTGGATTGAAAATCTTAATACATGACAAAGACAACAACTCCTTAACTCAAACAATAAATGTTGTCTTCAAAGAAATTTTTCACAACGTGATCTAGGTACATTTTTACTATTTCTTTAAACTATTAAATTTATTAATAAAATTCTCTTTTTTTGTTTACTATATTTCCTAACACCTACATTTCTTTATTAAGCTTTCACACAATATCATTTTTGAAGAATTAATACAAATGTCACCATACAAATGTAAGTCATTTTTTTAAGGTCAAAATAATGTTTTCTCTTTTCTAATTAGAACATTTCTCTAATTCTCATTTCATTTTTCATGCTTGTAGGTTATGTAATCTCTTCAATTGCTTCTAACCAGGCTTACTGTATTATTAGAATCAAAGATTTATTATTAGTTTTTTTATTCTATATTGAACATATTACAATTGCATTCCGCACTGTCAATATATTTCATAACAGTTGAATATTTTCACAATTAATACCGTGAAATTATTATCATTTTAATTTTATTATTTCTATTTAACAAATGCTCTTATATTAAAGAATTAACTTTTTTGTGGGTTCCGTGCAAACACGCGGGTCTTCTACTAGTATCCAATAAAAAAGTTATGTCATTTTTTATATATATTTTATTTAAAATAAATTAATTCTTTTATTCAATTTTACTAAAAATACTGATACCTAAAAATTTGTCTTTAAACTATACTTACAAAATTTTAAAAAATTAAACCACATTTTCTAAAATTTAAAACAATACTAGTTCCCTTATCTCCTTAATTACTTTTCAACTTAGGAGATCCGAAAATACACATTAAAAACCTTTAATCCATATTCATATTGCCAAGTCATATCGGGTTTTCACGTAACCCGACCCGACCTATGAATTGGATCCGATTACCATTATCCCTTTACCTTGCACCAGTAACCGGAAAATCACAGAAGATGCAGAGCAATGTTCGGCGCAACTCGTATTTCGCATCATTTTCGAGATTGTGAACTCCATTTTCACTACTTCGGTCTTGGCTTCAGATTTCACACTTTCCATCTTTCTCTCCCTCCACGCCCTACAAAATCTTGTTTCCTCAGTAACGGCATCGCCACCACTTCCGGTGGCAACCGGAGCATAATCCCGTCGAACAAATGCTACTCCGGTACTCCATCTAAGTCTTCCGGAGAAATTCCACTCCTATTCGATTGTTTCAGGTATTGATTATGCTTCCTTAGTAAAATTGAAGTGATTTTTTTAACACTAGCTTTGTTTCATAAGGGTTTTCTACATGTGTGGCTATGTTGATTGTGATAATTCAGATGAAAGTTACTGAACAAGATGTATCTGAAAATTGTGGAAGAAATAGGCAATTAAGAATATGATATATTTAAGATTCTGTTTCATTTTCTATGTAGCCAACAAGAAGATGAACGTGAAATTCTCTCTGATGGAGTATCTGCAGTTGCAGGTTTATTTTCTCTTTCACCTTTTGCCTTTTTATCATATGATTTATATCCATGTTCAGCTATGTAATGGCCAATTGACAATTTTTTGAGTATCGATTTTGGTTGGAGGGAAATGTGATGATATTGCTGAACTGATTTTGTGATCAGAGGTCTGTTTGGATAAACAGCTTATAGGCCATAGCACAAGTGCTTATCAAAATAAGCCTTTATGAATAAGCTCGTGTAAACAATTTTTATAACAAAGTTTTTTTTATGTTATAAGTTAGTTTTCATTAGCTATCTTGAAGAATTTACAATAATAAATTCAAAATAATTTATAAAAAATGTCAGAGGCTGTTTAAGTTTCCCAAACAGTGTCACAAAACTTATGATGGTAGATAAGCTCAAATAAGTCTATACAAATAGGCTCCAAGTTTGTCATCATAGTTTCTCGAAGGAGGGGGGCTTGCTGTTGGATGTCTTTGCTTTTTTAGCTTAGCATCTTCGTTCTTCTTTTATTTTTTGTGCATTACTATTTTTCTTTCTTTTGGATGTTTATCGTCTATTTTTACTCTCAACTTAATTTATGCAAATTTTTTGCTTTATTTGTGAAACTAGTATCGCTTGCTTGTATGGTTTAGGGAACTAGTACAGAAGAACATGTGTAAAATGGTGTTTTTTACTTTGGAAGTTGTCATTGTACATTTTATAGTTCTTCTACTGATGCTATAATGATACTGCCAGGTGGAGTTGTAGCGTTGGGAAAGTTTGATGCTCTGCACATAGGTCATCGAGAACTTGCAATTCAAGCATCAAGGGCTGGACCTCCGTTTCTTTTATCATTTGTTGGCATGGCAAAGGTCCTTGGTTGGGAACATAGGTAAGATGCAGTATATGCTTGTATCTAGTCCATTAAACGGTTTATTATACTACTTTTTTCTTATGGCTAGAAAATGTGTTTGGCTCTTTCTTTCATTTCATGTAATACTCCTATAATCTTACACTACTAACTTACAAAATTTATGAGTATGAGAAAAGTTTTATTTGAGACTAAAATTTGTAAACTTCCCTTGCCCCTGATGCATTGGGCCACTGCTATGCACTGACTCATGCTAATGTTTCCTCACTTTGCTGTTGGATATAATTAATAGAATGTAATAAAGCACAGATCACATGCATACACGTTATTAAAATGATTAATGACTCTTTTGTAATTTGAGCTTTAGATTAGTTACTCTTCATTTATTGTTATGCCACTTGAATAACCTATGTTAGGAAAATATTGATTAACTTTTATAAACTAATAGGAGCCAGTTATTGTGATATCATAACAACAAACTCTACAGTCTTTTGCCAAGAGGGAGGGGTTTGTGTCTCACAATTTCTTAGAAGATTTACTTTTCTCTTCATGGGAATTAAACCTGAAACATCTTGTTGGAAATTCCGCCCTCATTGCAGTCCGTCCCTAGCCGCCTAATTGCGATAGTTGGTCTGCCTGGCTTCATTGCAGCCTCCAACACCTTCATTGTGTTGGGTATGAAGCGTGAGTTTAATTCCACATTTCTTAGAGACATGACATGTGTAGTATTTATAAGTTTTGGGTAGCCCCCACCTTACAAGCCGGTTTTGTAAGATTGAGTTTGACTCAATCCAAATTCTAAAGATGGTATTAGAGGCTATCCTAAATATGTTGTTGGGCTTCCCCCGTCATCCACACTTCAGGCTCATTGGGCCTGAGCGTGAGGAGGTATATTGAAAAGTCCACCTTCATTGCGGTCTGCCCCTCCCGCCTAATTGCAGCATTTGAATTGCATTCGATGCAGTTTCCAACACCTTCACTGTATTGCGTATGAAGGGATGAATTGCCAATCCTTGTCACCGAAGTTCATTGGCAATTCCCTGTTGTATTGCAATATAATTTTTCCTCCAGGAAGAGTAACTATGCCATCAATATTGTACTAACTGTATTGCAATATAATTTTCCCTCCAGGTAGAGTAACTATGCCATCAATATTGTACTAACAATCTACTTTAAGAAATACAATTATGATTGTGAGTATTAAAATAATACTATAAAAAAGTTTGGTCGTGTTTTTTGGGTTCTTTTGGCTAACTGATTATATAGTAATATGCACCATTTTCCCATCTTATAGTTGATAAAATAGTTTTTGAATTGGCATAATTCTAGCAAATATATGAACTTTTAACTCATTTTTATTCTCTAAGTTGCTGAAGATTTTGTGGCACCATCATCTTTTTCTTATTTAGCTTGGAGGGGAAAGAAATAACATGTATTTTGTCAAATGTTTCCCAAACAGAGCTCCAATAGTTGCTAAATGTGACCGAAAGCGCGTTCTTTCATCTTGGATTCCATATTGTGGTAACATGGTCCCAGAAGAGTTTCAGATAGAGTTTTCAAGCGTGAGGCATCTCAGTCCACAGCAATTTGTTGAGAAGTTATCAAAAGAACTTAAAGTGCGTGGAGTTGTTGCCGGTAAGTTGCACCAGTTATCTTTTTATCTTCTCAAGTTACACCAAACCCGTTTACATCATCATAATCTGTTGGTATTTTTTTTTTTTTTTTCCGGAATAGGAACATTAGCATGGTTTATTCTATTACCAATTTCATCCTCATACAAACAGTAATAGATGTCTGTACTGGAACTTCTTTCAGGCGAGAACTACCGATTTGGATATAAAGCTGCTGGAGATGCATTAGAGTTGGTAAAGCTGTGTGAGGAGTATGGAATGGAAGCTTACATAATAAAATCTGTTATGGACAAGAACCAATACTCTGCAAATATAAATTCCAGTACTAGCTCCAAAGAGAGGGGACAAGTCTCGTCCACTCGTGTCCGTGAGGCCCTTGCTGTAGGAGACGTGAGGTATGTCTCAGAGCTTTTAGGTAGACAACATCGTCTTGTATTACTGGCCAACGACCGAGAAAAGTTCAGGTTTAGCCAATATAAGGTGTCTGCTCCTAAATCATGCTTAATGAATCTAGCACCGAAGGAAGGTTTATATGAGAAGTGTTCACTTTTACTTGGTCAAGAAAATGTTATGCTATGTAGGATAATTATTGACAGCAAGTTTGTGCATATAGAAACAGATTGCGGAGGTCAGAGTGATATTTTTGGTACTCACAATTTGCAGTACTTGCATATTGAATTTGGTGATTCAAGCACTTGATTCAGTTTCGATAATGTTTCTATTTAAATTCTTAGTCTACTTAATTATAGATGATTCTTATCTGATCTGTCCCATATAAAAATTCCAAGTCTTGAAGCTGATATAAGTGTTTATAAATTATACCTTCTTTCCTTTCCCCTCTAAATGCATTATGCCCTCGAAGTTCAAACCAAGAGATGAAATTTGTTCCAAAAAAAAAAGTTTATTATTCTACAATCATTTCTGATTCTGTTAGTTTGTGATCTATTTTATTGGATTCAAGTTGATCTTGGAAGAAAGGTTTGTTTCAGAAACTAATTCATACTTGGCTAAATATAAGTTTGTCAAATGGGTTATACCATTTTAAAGAACAAACTTTGAAGCGAATGATGTGATATGTTTGATTACACTTTTTTTTCCTTAGAATTTGATGTTTGAGAACTCCTATGTAAAACTGATGGAAACCAGAAAATTAAGGATAAAACAGTAAAAAAAAAAGAAAAAGAATTGAATTGGTAGGAATGCTTTTATATTATTGATGTAATACTACTCTACCTAATGGAAACCAGAAAATGAAGTGATAAATTTGACCCTATTTCCACACTTTTGGTCTTGTGACTATCAATAGCTGCAGAAACAGACTTGTCCATCAAGTCAAAGAAATTGGTTTCACATAACAAACTCGTTTTCTCAAGTTGCTTTGTCAACTAGCACCTCAACAGGTTCCCGCAATCCTCCTGACTCTCCTTCCAACCAGTAGGCAAATCTTTTTCAACCTGATAATTCCCAATAGCTTAATTAAGTGAAGAGCAATGAAAAACACATTTCGCAGTTTAACTCCAATTCTCTCAAGAACTTTGTCAACACTGGAGTGGACGTGTTCTCCCATACACCACCTTAAAAGGTGTAACTCCAGTTCATGTATGGTTTGTGGTATTATACCAATATTCTAAAAATTCTGTGATAGGCAGAGGTCTATGAATTCAATTGTTTCTCTATGTTTCCGACATGATTGGATCTCCTACATCTATTTTGTGAAAAAGTGATTAATAAGGTTTGTGTTTCGTTAAAATAGGAATTTTCTTGCAGATTTGTAAGGAAGTTATGCTAAATTGGTTTGATCAGTCCCTTGTATTCTAAGGAATGTATTATTTAAAGGGATTGAGATTTGAAAGTGAATCTTGTGGGATGACTCAACCAAGATCTCGGTTGATGTAAGAAAGACACTACTGTCATGGGAACTTGAAGTACTTTTATTCAAGATAACATTTTGACATCATGCTGTGTTTAGTTGCCTTTTGAAAAAGATGTTACAAAAACATCCCAATAAGCTTTTTCAAAAGTTCTTAAAAGAAATCATCGAATCGATGTTTTCTGTAGCCGGCCTGAGGCCAGAATTCAGTTTCCAATGCATTTTTAGTTTCTACCAAACATAACCTTATCCCTTACCAGCATGACATAGCCCTGTCAGCAAGCTCACTTCTTTATCTGGTAGAACTAGAAATGGAAATTCAATAGTCAATGTGGATACACATGGAAATGATTTGGTGAAAGCTATTAAGGATCAATCATTTATTTTCCATGTGGGGGCATTGGGATGATGTGGTAGTGATTTGGATATTTTTCTTTTCACCTAAATATTCAACTTCTTTTTCCCTTGTATCTGAATGTAATGCATCAGAAAGGCTTTATTCCAGCTCAGAAACCTTTGATCACTCCATTTTATTAGCATTTGTTTTATCATAACCACGTGGTATTGTCCAACCAAACCAAACTATTATTATTTGTTTCCTCCCATTTCTTAAAGATAATCAGCTATTTACCATTATAAAACATCTTTCCTCTTGACAACTAAACTTTTGAATTGCTTTTATTCCTTTAGTCTTCATGATGATCCCTAGCTGACTCATCCTCCAAAGCCTCAACCGTCACACTGTTTCCTTTTAACCATATATATATACTCATTTTGAATACAATCATTCATCAACCAAATTCCAAAAACCTCTTCAATATTTTTTACAATAAAATGAATACCTCATTTCTTCATGACCTACTTAATGGAATCTCTATCAGCTCAACTTATCCGACCGGGAAGTCCTCAAAGAGATACTTGCCCGATTCATCTGGCAAATACTGCAAGTCTATCACAAAATCAAACAAGGGTAAGACACATCTACCTTACCAAATCTGTATTTCATCAATCAAATACTTACATCAAATTTAAGTTTATTGATCGTGGTCCTTTTTCTTTTTGCCAGGTAAGTTAAATTCAGTTCTGACTAAGATGTCAGATACTGTAAAAGGGAAACTGAGGTTGGGAGCAAGAATTCTTCGAGTTGGCGGAGTAGAGAAAGTGTTTATGCAACTTTTTAGTGTTACAGATGGAGAGAAGCTGTTGAAAGCATCACAGTGCTACTTATCAACGACATCAGGTCCTATAGCTGGTCTCCTCTTCATATCCACCCACAAAGTTGCTTTTTGCAGTGAGAAATCCATCAAGATCACTTCTCCAAAAGGAGAGTTTATTAGAGTTCACTATAAGGTGATATTCTTACTTTTTTGTAATGTCCATGTTAATGCTCTCAGTTTCTCTTACCTATTCTTCACACTTTGTTAGTATGTAACCTTAATTGATTTACTATTTCAGGTCTGTATTCCACATGAAAAGATAGAGCATGTCAACCAAAGTCAAAATATGAAGAAACCTTCAGAAAAGTATATAGAAATAGTCACTGTAGATGGTTTCGACTTCTGGTTTATGGGTTTTTTTAATTACCGGAAAGCTATAAGATATCTCCAGCAGGCTATGTCTGAATCTCAGAGAGAAAAGTTGTAGAAATAGTCAAATTATTTATCCCTGGTGCTTCATCAATTATTTTTTGAAGTTGCAGAGATTTCAAATATGTACAGATATTTTACATTATATGTTAATATAAAAAGCTACTTATTTCTTAAACTTTTGATTCCCTGATATCTAACCTACAAAGTTGTTCCCTGAAGTTTAAAACTCAGTCTATACATTTCTATTAACCATGTTAAGTGTTAGATGATATGAGCAAAGGATGGCAGAAATATGTTGGTTGTTGTTTTACATAGATGATCAACACCTGTCTTTCTTTCAAGAAAACATCATATAATCTTTACTCTTCATACTCAGTTTTCATTAAAGGATTTGATAATTATGTAAATGCTTTTATTTTAATTTACGAATGGTCTCTTTATTTTTATTTGATTTCTTATTTTTATAACAACATTGAGGTTGGTCTGGCGAAAAAACTAACGTGCCAACTATAATGAGGAATGAGACTAAATAATGTTGAAGAAAAAGTTTGTCCAGATCAAAAAGCTAATCTTTCAACTATAATGTTGAATGATACACTAAACAATATTTAAAAGAAAAAACTTTAATTGTTTTTTATTGCACCGCCGCAACCGTACTATCTCCAAATCTAATCTATGTTAACTATTTTCTCCGAGCTCAGATAGCTGCTCATCACAATGTCTCTGCGGCAGAAGTCGCCTACAGAAGATCTAAAGAAGCGCCAAATTGGTTTGCAAGAATTCCACACCACCAAGATGGGAACCTCTGTGACAGAAGTCAAAGAAGAGGAGCTAGTCGTCGTGCGCCAGAAAAATACCAATCATAAATATAAGACTACAAGCATATTCACTAAAATAACGACTTTAGGCATAAAGAGATACAATCATGGAAAATTTTGAATGAAATCAGATATGCATTAAAGTTAAATATGAGGCTTAGAAATTAGGATTGGGAGAGTACTTTGTATGAGAGATTGAAGCACTTTTTTCACAAGTTTAGAGGAATTATAATAAGGATCCAAATCAATGGTAAGAGCATGAAATATGAAAGATTTACATTTTCATAAAGATGCTTTGGCATTTGAGCTCATGCGGACATGTAGATTCTCAACCATCAGCAAATAGTTGCTTTCTAAGTCATTTGATAAACTAAATTTGAGATTGATTGGCATGCTGGAAGATGTTCTACAACAACAACTAAATTTGGCTCCTGAACCATATCATGTTCACTGTCTGAGCTACATGCATGCTCTTTCTCATGATGGTGATAAGAAAGTTGTGGATTTAATTCATTTTTCTTTCAAGAAACAACAATACAATCAATAGGATCCGGATGGATATTCAATTGACTTGGAAGCCATTTGGATAGATACTTCTACCTTGAGGGCTAAGGTTTATTTTAATGGGAGGAGTAATGTTATGATCTCAAATAAACAAAAATTAAAGAATTTAAGGGACATTTGGCATTTGATCCACAAATGAAGGAGTTGAGAGGATATGCTTAGATAAAGATTCCTTAACATGCTATAAGAGGCAATGCAAATGATTAGCAAGAAAAGGAAAATATTCTGAACGAAAAGTGGATCTCTTCTCCCTCTGAGCTGTCAAGCTTTCTTCTAGAAATTATGTAATTCCTTCTTTCAATTGGTTGGGCCATTATCATATAATAAACTTCACCCTCTATTTCATTATAATGTTGCATATAGTTTCGAGTATCGTTTGGCATCTTTAGTATCCTACTGTGCATTTTTATCTGAGTTCATTATAAATGACATATATTCACGAATATTATCGGTGCATAAAATTTTAATGAAAGTGTCAAACTGATTTTAAATTTCGGCATGAAATTGATAAAATATATGGAAGACATCTAAACGGGTTTTCATAAAAAATAACCAAGTACATCGTGAAAAATAATCAATAAAAGTTACGAATTAAGAGTTTTACAGTTGCCTTGACACAACTAAGACTCCAAATGTCAGAATGAACTAAAGCAAAAAGTGACTCAGCCTTTTATTTACTCGTTGACAATAGGTGTGACGAGTATGTTCGCCTAATTGACATTATTGATACTCAAATGAAGAAAGCTTAGAAAAACTAGAAACTAAAAGGCGCATTTTATTAAGGCTAGGGTGACCCCAAATGTTGATATGTAAGGTTTTGAGAAGCAATAAAAGCATATGCCACCAGTGGTAATAGATGATATAATCCTCTGGACTCACTCCCTGTTACAATCGTCTGTCCTGTACGTCGATCCTGGACATAAACAAAATTATGAATAAGAAGAACTGAACAATCAAGAAAATAAGTGAGCTTTATAACAAATATTATATTGAAAGGGCAACCAGGAATATATAACACAAAATCTAAAGAGACGTTTGAAAGTGGGTGTGCCTGACCAAGACCTTAACTTTGATTTTAGAGTCATCCTTCATAGTGACAGAAGACACGGAATCAGAATAAAACAAGTTAGATAAAAGAAATTTATTACCAGTCATATGATCACAGGCACCAGAGTCAAGGATCCAAGGATCAAGGAGACATATGATATGTGGAAACTTACTACACTTAGGGATGTCAATTTGCATTCGTTAACGGTGATCCCTGTGGGGATTATCTGTTTGGAGCTTCGAAGTCGTGGATTTTGTCCCCCGCGGGGATGGGGATAGAGGGAAAAGTTCCCCCAATGACACTTTGGTGCGGGGATTGGAGAAGTCCCCCTCCCCGCGGATTCCCTGACCCCGACCATAATATTTAACTTTATATTATATAATATATAATTATATAATTTGGCATGTTTATTTTATAACAAATTAATTAATATATTAGGAAATGAAGAGTTATAAGTAGACCCGTGTAATTACTACTCTCATTTGTTCATTGCGCTTATGGTAATTATTCTTCAACTTCAATGTACTTCAATTATCAAGCTGATTTTTGTTCAATTAATATATTAATTTTTGTTCAATTTATAAATTAGTGGTTATATTTTTATAACTACAAACGTTTTTGCATTTGTTTGTTATTGATTCAGGATGTGTTTTTATTCATTAAAAAAATGAAAAATATATGTTTTAAAAAAAAGAAGAAAAAAAACTAAACACTAGTGTCATAGTTATGATTAAAAAAATATATAATTTTTTTTTATGATTCGATCTCTGTGAATCTCCGATTTTCTGTGGAGATCTGTGGGGATGGAGATGGGGAAAAATATTCCCCCGTGGCGGGGATCGGGGACGAGGATGGGGAAAATATTAGGGGGCAGGGTGGGGAGCGGAGAAGCATCCTCCGCGCATTCCCTGCTCTGTTGACATCCCTAACTACACTTCCACGAGGACACAAAGAAATCAGAGTAAGATGGGTGTACAAGACGGAGAAGAATGCAAAAGGAGACGTGAAGAGATACAAAGAAATATTGGTGGCAAAAAGCTATAGTCAAAGACAATGAATTGACTATGATTAGGTATTTACCCTTGTTGCTCATCGTGAAACTATTAGACTGATCATTTCTTTGGCATTCCAAAATGAATGAAAGATCTATCAAATGAGTGTGAAGTCGACCTTCTTGAATGGTTTTCTCGAAGAAGAAGTTTATATTGAGCAACCACGAGGATATGAAGTAAAAGGGTAAGAAGAAAAAGTCTTGAAGTTGAAGAAGACACTGTACGGACTCAAGCAAGCACCGAGAGCTTGGAATATTTGAATCGACGAGTACTTTCAAGACAAGAACTTTATCAAGTGTCCATATGAGCATGCACTCTATATTAAAGCGCAAAGTGGAAATATTTTGATTGTATGCTTATATGTTGATGACTTGATTCATTTTCACAGGGAACAATCTAAGCATGTTTGAAGACTTCAAGAAAGACATGTTAAATGAATTTGAGATGACGAATATGGGGCTCATGGCACATTATCTCGGCATCGAAGTAAAGCAAGAAGATAAAGGGATTTTTATCAACCAAGAAAGCTATGCCAAAAAAGTCCTTAAGAAGTTCAATATAGATGATGCCAATCTAATTGGCACCCCGATGGAATGTGGTAGCAAGTTAAGTAAGCATGAAAATAGAGAGATTGTGGATCCAACTCTTTACAATAGTTTGGTTGGAAGTCTACGTTACTTGACAAGTACAAGGCCGGACATTCTCTATGTTGTAGAATTTGTAAGTCGCTATATAGTGTTAAATATGTAATTTATTGTTTTAGAAAGATTATATTTGATTTAAAAAGATCAGATTTGATTTAGAAAGATTATATTAGATATTTTTGGGCTTTTATAGTTTGGGTTTTGCCTTGGAGTGCAAGCTAGCCTAAATCTATAAATAGGGAGAAACTCTTATTTTGTAAACATCTCATCTCATAAAGTTTGATAATTCACAATTTGCAGTTGCAAGTGAAATAACATAATTTCCACAGTTTGTGGGCAGAGAGTTCTCTACAGAAAATTGTTTATCTTCTTCTTCTCTAATGTTTATTTTCTTTCTTTCTTTCTAAACTTTTCTTTCATTTTCATTACGTGAGTTGAAACAATCTTGAGATCAAGATTGATTGAGTGAAATTCTCCATAGGTTGTGGTTGAATTTCCAACATTTGGTATCTAGAGCTCCGGTTGCGATTCAAGAAAGGAAAATTGTGATGGCGATGAATCATTCAAATGGTCACTTTCCGGCAAACCCTCCAATTCTCAAGAAATATAATTATGAGAATTGGTGCAATCAGATTAAGGTGGTTTTTTGTTATCAAGATTTTTGGGATCTTGTGAAGGGAGGAGTAACACCGCTTACAGAAAACACGACTGATCAAGAAAAGGTTGCATTCAAAGAATTGAAGAAGAAAGATTATACAGCTCTCTTTATAATTCATCAATATGTAAATCTAGATAATTTTGAAAAGGTTAGTGATGTAGAATCAGCGAAGGAAGCGTGGGAGATTTTTAAAAAGTCGTTTGGAGGCACAGAAAAGGTGAAAGAGGTGAGGTTACAAACTCACAAGAGAACCTATGAATTGCTTCAGATG